GGCTTTGTGTGGACATCATGAAACCTATTATACAGCACATAGAGTTATTCTGGTTCCACTGGGTCATTGGGTTTAGACTCACACCAGGCGCGTGTCCAACGTCCTTCATATGACCAGTGTTGTGCCCTTGAATCTAGTTTACTCCATGGAGCACTGCAGATGGTCTTTTGCTCTAGGCTCATTGGGCCTTATTTACCATTATCTTCTTATGTTTTTCCTTAAATTTGTTCTTGAGAAAGGTCCCAAGAAAAGGTCTACGTCAGACTCATGACGTGTTCTTGAACTGCAAAATTGTTCGCGTCTGTGCTTTTGAGTGTGTGTAGATTCTGTTCTTACCTAAGGACAAATCCCCAATAAGAAAACGTTGGTAAATTGTCAGAATCTTTGTGTAAAGTGCAAGTTTGTTTAAGAAGAAGTTTCTTCTTAGGAATGGTTGGTGAATGAGGCCCAGTATTAGTATGCTATGCCTTTGTGACCTCAAAAAAAAGACTTATAATTCTTTGAATATTCATCATAGTTAAAAGACTACAGACTAGCCAGAAAAACATCTGCGTCAAGCTTAAACACTTTTTATTTTGCAATGAAAAACCAGCATCGTATGACAAGTTGTGTCCACCCTGTCATATATAAATTATAAAATATCGTAGAAACTATAGAGTCATTGCCTTTTTTGGTGAAAGCAGTATATAGCCCAGTTAAAGAGAATATAAAATGTAAATCAGATAAAGAGAGCCTGTTATGACCAATCAACAATGCTCAACTTACAATTTTTCATTTGCTTTTTATAGACATGGACTTTAGCAAAAGTAGCATGGGTTTTCATACTGTGAAATATGGTGGTACTGGACGAATACTTTGGGCGGCATCCACTAAACTTTGAGCTCTGAGCAACAGGACAGGAAGTCATCAAATTTGACATCTTTAAAAAAGTGAACTTTTAGGACTGTCACAAAGCATCACAAAGCTATGGCTATGATACGAGTGGACATTCTAATGTTCTTTAGAACAACAGTGGTGGTACATGGATCCCTGGGGCCAAGAGATATTCTATGGTTTTCTAATGAATACGGTCAGGAAAAGAAGCTGAGGGAGTCACAGCAGCCTGAACTTTGGCTTAGAACAGTCAAGGAACCGAAGATCACAGCCACAACTGTCCATTTCTACAGACTATCTGATGTTAGCCACATGACCAGGTTAAATTGGCTGCTGGGGAGAGGGACAGAAGTGTGGAGAGCATGAAACAGGTTGTATGGCTAATGAAAAATGTGGAAAACCACACAGCAAGGCGGCAAAGGGAAATCAGCATTAATTCAAGCAAATATCAACCCGCATGCTTTCCTCCGCCCAAGTACTGAAGGGAGCTGGAATTCGTTTTTGGCTCCGAGATCTGCTGGTCCTCCCTATCGGGAGACAATTACCAGCGCGCTTCAAAAAGCCGGCTCTGGGCGAGATTAGCTCCACTTCTGGGAAGGTGATGAAAGCAAAAGCCTCGCCCTTGGGTTGGCTCTTCCCATGGGTGAGTGTGTGGTGGCTAAAATGTGCGAAAGCGAGAGGGAGAAGGATGGAGGGCTGGTGGCTCTAATGTTCCCTGGCATCCCAAAGCCTTTGGCCATGGATGTGCTGTCAGCCCGGACCCTTTGGGCTCCACAGCAGCAGTTCGAGAAAAAAAAAAATCCCAGTTCTTCAGATCTGACTGAGCTGCACAGATGTCCTCCTCTGTGTCACGGCAGCTAGCAGATCTCGCTAACGAGGCTAACGAGAGGATGCCTCCAGGCCAGACAGGCTCCCTGGTGTTTGCTCGGCAAATTTAGCAGGGATTTGGGCCTTCCTGAGCGCCTGTGCGTTCCCAGGGCCCCAGAGGCAGCACAAGACCATTTTAAACAGGCGTTAATTCCAGAATTGATGCTACGCTGAAGGACAATTTCATTTCAAGTCCAGTCTTGGGAATAAAGGAACATACAGAGTATATTACAGTTATATATTTGAAATTTAAGGGAAAAAAGTGACTGTCTGTTGGCAGAAACACTAATCTGATCACGTATACCATTGGGTGATCATTCTTCGTGTTGAGTTGCCTCAATGTTTTCTAAATCAATGAGAAATGCAGCAAAATCTAATGTTATAGTGTGGTGGTCTGAACCATTTTATACCAAACCACCATGAATAACTTACATCTCAGTGATTCAATATAATGAAATTTATCCATTTCAACTTGTTTGTCAACCTTAGAAAAAACTTTTGTGACAATATGACAACATTGTGCTTTTGTGCATTGTGAAGTGTTGTGATTTATACTTATGTATTTGTATTTATATTGTTCATATTTTTATACACTTCTTCCATATTGCCAAACCTTGTCATACTTTTTGCATGCTCTTTCAAAGTACAGAAGAACATATTGCTGAAATTTGAATTACTTCTTTGATTAAACATATGTCATCATTAAATAATCAGCAATGAGAAATATGTTTCAATTCAAAAGCAGCCTTATGAATCCATTTTAGGTAACAGTAATAAAATTTCATGTTGAGTTCTTCATAACTGTAAATTATTCTAGATCCCCAAATGTCTAATGAAATGTCACTGCTGTTATGTGTGAACTCATTAGAGTAATGCAGCACCACAAGTGTTGAAATGCTCTCATCACCCAAAGGCCTCATTTTTCTGTTTGATTGTCCTAGTGACTTTCAGTACTCCACTCATTTATTTACAATAAAAATATACAAGTTTAAAGTTTAAGTTACCCTTTATTAAAACCACAACAGGGAAATTCTCCTCTGCATTTAACACATCTGTGCAGTGAAACACCCACATACACACTAGTGAACACACACACACACACACTAGGGGGCAGTGAGCACATTTGCCCAGAGTGGTGGGCAGCCCTGTCCACAGCGCCCGAGGAGCAGTTGGGGAGCTAGCTTCCTTGCTCAAGGGCAATTTAGTCATGTCCCGTCAGCTTAGGGGATTGAACCAGCGACCTTCCGGTCATAAGGCTGGTTCCCGAGCCGCCAGCCCACAAGTGCTCATTGGCCACTTTATTAGAAACCCCTAACTTGGTGCACCTTATTAGTGGTGTTGCTCTTCTTTTGAAGCTTTCAAGTTGTGCTCTTTTAAACACCACATTTACTGCACGCAGTAATTCTGAGTCTGAGTCAAGAGGCAACTAAGGGTGAGTCAAGTTGAGTCATAAGTCAGTGAAGGATGAGTCTGAGTCGACTCACGAGTCAGTTAAAGGTGAGCTCAAGTCAAGTCATGAGTCAGTTAGGTGTGAGTATGAGTCGAGTCATGAGTCAGTTAAGGGCGAGTCCGAGTCGAGTCATGAGTCAGTGAAGGGTGAGTCTGTATCACAAATCAGTTAAGGGATGAGTCTGAGTCAAGTTGCGAGTCAGCTGAGGGCTCCAATTCAATTAAGTCAATTAAGTCAATGTGGCATGCGCCCGCCCCCGGGCCCCGACGATGACGGCCGCCTGGGTCGAACGTGAGGTGTAGTGAAGCAGCCTCACCGCGTACCAGGGGGCGGGGCTCGGGTGGCAGACCTCGGGACTCACTCGTGCCTCGTGTGGCCGACACCATCGTCATCGTCGTCCTCCTCCTGCTGCCGTCACTCGGTGGAGCTCAGGCTTTGCGCTCCGTCCCCTCCACACTCGCGGCTCTCTCCCTGCCATCTTCGCCGAGGTTCGTCGCCGCTGGGTGTTCGGGTCCCGCCTTCCTGCTGGCTCTCGCAGCCACCATCGTCGGGGCCCGGGGGGGCGGGCGCATGCCACAGTCAATTAAGGCCAAGTTGAGTGATTAATCAGTTAAGGGTGACTCTAAACTGAAGTCGTGTGTTAGTTAATGGCCAGTCTAAGTTGAGATGCAAGTCAATCAGAGGCCAGTCTGATTCACGTTGTAAGTCAGTTAAGTGTGAGTCTGAGTAATGAGTCAAATAAGGGTGAGTCCAAGTCGAGTCACAAGTCATATAAGGGCCAGTCTGAGTTGACTTGCAAGTCAGATAGGGGTGAGTCCAAGTTGAGTCACAAGTCAATTAAGAATGATCAGAATGGAGTCGTGAGTCTGTTGAGGGGCAGTCTGAGTTGACTTGTATGTCAAATAAGGACAAGTCAGAGTTGAGTCGCAAACCAGTTAAGAGTGTGTCTGAATTGAGTCCCCAGTCAGTTAAGGCTGAGTCTGAGTCATAAGTCAGTTAAGGGCAAGACCAAATCAAGTTACAAGACAGCTTAGGGGGCAAGTCTGAGTTAAGTCCCGAGTCAGTTAAGGGCCATTCTAAGTTGTGAGTCAGTAAAGAGCCAGTCCAAGTTTAATGCAAGTCAGTTAAACATGAGTCCAAGTCTACTTGCAGCACAAATAAGGATGAGATTGGGTTGAGTCGCAAGTCAGTTAAGAGTGAGTTAGAATCAAGTTGTGAGTCAGTTAAGGGCCAGTCCGAGTCATGAGTCTGTTAAGGGTGAGTTCAAGTTGATTTGCAAGTCAGATAAGGTTGAGTCTAGGACGACAGACTGGCGACAGTCTGTAAAGTCTACACAGTGGACCTACAAGGTAGGTGGAAGTACAAGGTGGGAGTTTCTAATAAAGAGCACAGGGAGTGTGCAGTATATCATGACGCAGTGTACAGCTGTGGGGCCTCAAATACTTTTTACTGTTTGCCAAAAGTTTCCAAGTTCCTCTCTTCATTAAAATTACATGAGTGCATGAAGTGATTAAATAATCACACAGGCCCAGCAAAACCTGTGATCCCCCTGAGCCGAACACATCTTGTGAATGATGCAGAGAACGAGCATCAAGCAAAAGTACATTTTTCATCTAAATCACAAGGCGGTGTCTTATCCTTTCTTTCGCTCGCGAGTTACACGTCGTCTGCCGCGAGCATTTCCCAGTCGAAGGCCTCATTTGCCTCGCGAAGGACAACAAAAAGCGTGTGAAATGAAAAACGCTTGCTTTTGTCCTCGAAGTGCTGAAGTCACTAAGCTAGCACTGTGTTTGTGTTTCTGTCTTCTCAGGTACAAGCCAAGCCACTGAGGGAGTCATTGTTGGTAAGTTTTGTGCTTGTACTAGACGTCGGGGACTCGCCTTCCACTTCCTCTTGGTGTATCATTCACTTTAACAAGAACCCAGAGACCAAACTCAGCGGATCCGCAAGCTGTACTATCCTCAAAACAATAGGAATAAATGTAGTCTGCGATGTTTTATGCATTTATCTACAAAAACTCTGCCTGTTTGGTGTTGTTTATGATGGGAGCTACATGCTAATACAGTATTGTAGCTAGCTGCCTTTAAACAGTGGAAAATGCAGTTGCCAGGGTTGGAGTTTTCACACAAAAGTAATCAATTGCAAATTACTAATTAAATCTCTGAAACTGTAATGGAATTACTTTACTCATTATGTCTGGGAAAAAGTCATCTCATTCCTTTACTTTTATGTTACTCTCTAAACCCCAGACAAATCTTTGCCACTTAAACCTGGTCCTTTTTTAGTGATAGTATAGCAAACATGGTTTAAAATGACTCTCACTATGCCTACCTTCAAGCAAGACAAAGCCAGTTATGGCTGATTAAAATAAGCCTAGTTTTCCTGGACCACCATTGGCTGCATAGCATTTATCACACAACATTCAAGTGTCAACAGCACTTCAACAGTGGGGAGGCAGTCATTCATGTAGGGTCCAAAAAAAAAATACCTTATACTTTTTGATAAAAGTCCTCCTCTCATCTCTGAAACTGTCCCTGACATACTGCCTGCTAGTTACCTTTAGCTAGATTGAGAACACAGAATATGCATTTGTAATTAAACAATATAACAGATAAGCTAAGTATAGCCAGTAGCTATACAGCTACAAATGTATTCATGCCACAGTATATCCTCACAATTCTTTTTTTTAATGTATTACAACTATATGTGTGTCGGCCTGAAGAAACCCCTCACATGGTGAATTTTTTATGAAAGTTTAATAAAAACCCAGACAGCAAGCATATATCGGTCCGCTGGCTTTATAAGGTCGACACCCCGCTGACTGTTGGCCACTGCTTGTCCACCCTCAGACCACCCAGTTTACTGTCTTGCATACAAGGTCTAAGTAGTTTCCAATTTCCTCAAACAGATCTTTAATGCTCACAGTCTTTTATTTTGGAAAATAAACTAAGACAAGTATTACAAACAACTGAAAAAAATGACTAGGCCTAATATAAAATGATTTAGTTGAAAAAGTTATTGCTGACACTGTGCTAGATTCAAATTATTTACTAATGAACAAAGGAAAACGAAAGAAAGAAATGAAGGAAAAAATCAATCAATTGGACTGTGAGTGGAAAATAAGTGATGAAAAGTGTCATTTTGTCTAACAGTCTGCTTGATCACCAGTGGGCCACCAGGAAAACGCCAGTGGACCGCCAGCTTTGCCATTAGTGGACCACTGTATTCTTGCTATTGGGGAAATGACCTCTTACAAATATGCTACATTTTTACAGCCACCTTTTCTCAGACACATTTAGCTAGCTAGACTTGGAGATGGATTTATATAATTTCAACCATTTGTTTCTCAGTTTTTTCCAGTGAAAACAATGGTGTAACAAAAGCAATTACAACCAGATGCTAACCAGCTAGCCTGCTAACTCACACTTCTCCTTGCCTACCTGTGGGAAAATAGAAGACATCTGTGACTTCCAACAGGTTTCTGAAGATAGCCACACATATTTCAAGCAAGGACTCAGACCCACATAAAACGACACAACTTTAGCTAAGCTGCCTCTCAACCCTGGTACACTGGTTGCTCGCTCACATTAGCTAGACTAGACTCAGTCAGTCAGTGAGCAAAAATGCCTCTTGTAGGCAATTAGGAACAGATGATGCTGCTTGAAAACCCAGAAACTAGCCAGTAGAAGCAGTTCAAATCTGCCTTGAAATCTCCATGAATAAAATTCAAAGCCGTCAAGTTCTGTTTAGGTGACATTACTTTCACATGTTACTTTGTACCACATTACCCTCAATAGAGTTACCTGCAAACCATTCATGGTTCAACCTTGGTCCCAGAGGGCCACAGCACTGCAGAGTTAAGGCCAAGAAGGCTCACTCTGAAAGCAGTTTTAATCATCCATCTGATGGAACAGATATGCCTCCATTTAATGCATTTCAATTCACAGCAGCTCCACAAAATGTGTCATATATCTGCAAAATGCACCCTCTTCACCCTCTTCTGCTGCTTTTTCACACATCAACTCCATTTTCTTTTGACTTAGAAACATAAGTAAAACGTAAACTCCATAGAGATCCATTAATATCACACTCCCATTGGTTTTTCTACAGCCTTTCTACATCCCAGAGTTGGGATGCAATGAAATACAATTATTGGGAAGACGTATTTAGACTGAAATGAATACATGTTAAATGTTACATTTTGTAAAAGCAGTATTCAGAGTACAGTTACTTTTTACATTTTGGGAGAATAGATTTATAATGCTTCTCCATGAAACAACAAAAAAAAAAAACATACAATCTTTAAAACAAATGCCATCCATGCTTGTCTATTAAAATGTAGCAAAGATGCTTGTTAGATGAACTCAATAAACAGCTTCTTTGCAAACACTGAAGGTCCTGCTAAAGCCTGAGTAGACTGATAAATCAATGGGATCATCAGTCATTAATCTCAGTGTTACTGAGCTCTGCTAAAGCCTGAGTAGACTGATAAATCAATGGGATCAGTTATTAATCTCAGTGTTACTGAGCTCTTCTGAGGGATGATTGAACTGAACAGTCTCCTCATTGACTTAAAATTGCATATCTACACTGCTAGAGAGGGTTCTTTGTGTGATGCCATAGAAGTACCGAGAATGGGGTGACAGATTACACGTCAGCATGGACGTAATAGCAGAGGTTGCTAATATGGGTGTAAGAGGTGTTCAAAACTTTAATCTTTACATCTGCGCCACTCCTGGCACCACAAACCCATATCTTTCTCCCTACTGGTCATGTTCCACAATTTGCCTTTAATTGTGCAGCGTACAACCGCACTGTAAACACCGTGGCCTGATGAGCTTTTAACGACAGCCGACGCAGCTCAAAGTTACGGGTGATTAGCCATTGATGAGGCGGCTTTAATTGTCCACGTTTTAGGGTGTGCAGGGGGCGCCAGTGTTTTGATCGATTTCGTATTATTTCACATGTTGTTTTCACACCTTAAACCCTAGATTTATTAATTAGTTCTGTATTTACTCTTTAAATTCTAATGAGGAGATTATTTTTTAAAAACCTGTCAGCAGGTCTACACTTCAATTCTTCACACTCGCAACTACATACTTTTATTTCTTACATAGTACTTCATAGAATAATTCATAAAACAATGAATACTAATTATTAAGCAAAAAAGATAACCAAAAAACAGATTAAAAAGTGTAAAATGAGGCTATAGTTTATGGTGGGGAATTCTGCTTCTGAAGGGCCGGATTCCTGTGCAGTTTAGGGATTTTCCTGCACAAACACTCCCAGTTCAACTCATCAGTTAATTGCCAGGTTTAAGAGGAGCAAAATCACCAAACTGTGCTGGACTCCAGCCCTCAGTTCCCCACCCCTGATAGATGGGATACATCTTAAGCCTTTTTTTTTAGCGATTACTATGAAACTAATATTTATTTATGTAGCTATGAGAGAATTGAAGAATGGGCTTATACGCAGACCCTTGAACCAACAGTATACTATAAAACAATGTTTTGCAGCAAATTCCCCTGACTGCAATTGGTCCTAATCACCACACTGTGTGTTCTGTGGCCTCTCCCTGACTGTGATTAGTCCCTAATCACTGTGTCATTTGTTTTGAGACTCCCCCCTGACTGATTGGTCCTAATCACTGTGTGAGACCTCCCCCTGACTGTGATTGGCTCTAAACACTACATAGTTTATTCTGAGACCTCTCCCTGACTGTGAATGGTCCTTATCACCATGTCATTTGTTCTGAGACCTCCCTCTGACTGCGATTGGTCCTTATTACCACACTTTTTTTTCTTAGACCTCCCCCTGACTGTGATTGGCCCTAAACACCACATTGTTTGTTCTGAGACCTCTCCCTGACTGCGATTGGTCCTCATCACCATGTTGTTTGTTCTGAGACCTCCCCCTGACTGTGATTGGTCCTTATCACTAATTTGTTCGTTCTAAGACCTCTCCTTGATTGTGATTGGTCCTCATCACCATGTTGTTTGTTCTGAGACCTCCCCCTAACTGTGATGGTCCTCATCACCATGTCGTTTGTTCCGAGACCTCCCCCTGACCGTGATTGGTCCTTATCACCACTTTGTTTTTTCTGAGACCTCTCCCTGACTGCGATTTGTCCTCATCATCATGTCCTATGTTCTGAGATCTTCCCCAACTGTGATTGGCCCTATACACTACATAGTTTATTCTGAGACCTCCCCTTTACTGTGATTGGCCCTCAATACCATGTTGTTTGTTCTGAGACCTCTCCTTAGCTGTGATTGGTCCTTATTATCATATTGTTTGTCCTGAGACCTCCTCCTGACCATGATTGGTTCACATGTCACACGATTGTCTGTGTCAAGTGCCCAAAAGACATACACAAACATCCTTTTAAGTATACTTATGATAGTGTGTTTGGCAGCAGTTCAATTTCATTTAGCTTTATCGTTGTTTGAAGTGTTTAAAGTTTAGGGTTTAAAGTGATGGTTTTAAAGTGATGGTTTGGCCAAATATAAAACAGAGTTTTCCCAGGACAGCCAAGACATGTTTTGTGTCTGAAAGTTGCTTCTTTAGTTTTACACTAAGGCTAATGTAGCCAATGGAAGCTTATACCCCACCAATAAGCACCACACAAACTGCACATCTTAATCATCACACATTGATTTGCAAATTAATCTGAATAGACTTGGTTATGTGGTTTCCGACACTTTGTGACATTCTGCTTTTAGGGGTGTAAGAATAAACTCGGCTCTAGTTTCAGTCTTGATATTGGGTTTATGATTTGATATTTTCACTTTATTTTGAACAAAATACCAATGAAAAAAAAAAATGCTGACTGTATCTATGTTGTTGTACAGCATACTAATGAACATTCTGGAATGAGCTGTTAATTGGTGCTGCACACATTTGTGCTCAAACCAATCTTTCATTGACTATATAGCCTAATTGTTAGTTATTATACTTGTTAGCTACATTAGCTTTGTAGCTCCAGTGCAAAACTAATGAGGCAAACTTCAGACACCAAACATATCCTGATCAACTGCAGGTGAAAATTCATTAAATTAGATTTTTGGCCAAACCTTCACTTTAAAGGATTAAAGGCTGTTTTTTAATTCTAATCCACGATCCTGTCCAGTTTGGGAGAGTGACGGGCTTCCTCTCCCTTTCGTCCTTCAGAGAAAGTCGAGTGAAGGCGGGCAGATGTTCCCCATGCAATAATTCATGATTATCTTCAATCGCCTCCTTTAACGAGGTTTTCGTCCCTACGGTGACGGAGACAATGAGGCACGGCGCAGTGGAGACAGCTGTCTGTAAAAACAAAAGCCTTATGAAAGATTCACCCATGTTATAATAACAAAGTCAGAGGAAGGTAAATATTTAATAGGGGTTAGGACATGGCGAGTACAGCGTTTTGGGAGTGGTGGGGGCTGATCAGGAAGAAAAACCCAGATGGACCACTCATTTAACATTATGCAAATTGCCAGACTGGGCCTACAATAGTTATTTAAAAGATGAGCAGTAAGCAAGACTTTATATTGTATTTAAATGTGTATGTATTATAGTGTGGTGTAGTGTTTTCACAGGCAAAACACACTATTTAGTAATAAACAGTTTCAAATCATTTTATGGTGCCTAAAGGCTTGTCCAGATGTATCCAGATATTTTTGAAAAATCTGCATTTTGGGCTTCTAGACATTTTCAGTTATTAAAAACATTTTTTTACAAGGTTAAAGATTTCTAAAACCAAAAAAGGTCTATTTGCTATGTTTTCAGGTGGACAGGTTTTTGAAAATGCTGACATCACACCATTAATTTGCACATGGTTTTTGCAGCCTTTATTTGTTAAGCTTGCATGATGACTAGGAGTTTTCTGAGTGCTCAGCGTAAAATGCATGCTCACATAAAGGACATAAATGCTTTGTGGAAAAATTCCTTCACGGCTATCAAAGTACAGTAACGTCAGCTAACAACTACAGAGTGATAAATCAATGCATAGGTAAAAATAACTATAACCAAAACACTAGATTAGCCATGTTAGCTGGAGATGTTGAAACAGCTTGCTAACAATAACTAGCTGGCAAAAAGTTAAAGACGCACATATGCCAGTAGGGGGCGTGCCGGGCCGTTATGGTTTGTAATGCCACTGTAGACATTTCACACAACTACTGGCCCCAGGAAACGAACATCTACTCCCCACTAAGGACTGAGGATAATGACAGCTTTTGAGGGAGAAAATGAAAACTTTTCCTCTGAAAGCGGCTGTGGCAGCAACTTTAAAGCACAAACTGCATGTTAACATGAACGTTAAGGTTGTTTTTGCTTCAAACTCGAACTGTTGAGTAAGCTGTATGTGCTCTTCTCGTCATCGTTGTTATTGTCGTTGCTTTAGCGGAAGCAGCATTACCCTGCACTGAGTACTTCCAGCAGAAAAAAATGCAGAAATGTGAAAAGGGTCTATGGTCTACTTGAGGGACATGGCATCAATTTTTATTTATTATTATTACCCCCTACTGGCCTGGTATCCTCATGTAACATTTCTAAGTCATTTTTGCGTTCTTGTGTTAAGAAATTTTCAAAAATGCTGTTGGTGTGGACAAAGATTGAAAAATGGGGAAAAAAAATATCAGAAATATCCTGATACATGTGGACAAGGTCTGAGACTTTTGCACAGTGCTGCATATAAATCAGGCTCTGCAAACATTTTAATACATTTTTTAAAGTTTAAACAAGTAATTGTGACAGACCTACGTCCATAAGAAATGTGTACTAAAGCAAAGAGGTGTCTCATTTCATTCTAACTGCCACCTAATCGACTTAAGAAGCTGTGATGTGAATTGATCAGCAGCTAATTTGCACATAAGGATGTATGCTGTGCTATTTTTCACTGCATCAGCGGTAGCAGTTTTTATATTATAGAAAACTGTTCAACATCATGAGCAGAGACTGACCTCTACAACTTAACATTGTGGACCTAAATAGAAACCATGACTGCTGAATATGTATGTGGCGTGCACACGATTACCGTAACTGACCTTTGTAAGGGTTAATCGTCTCTGTGATGTATTAAAAGATAGAAGGCAATTATACTACGTTCAAAAATCTGAAATCACATCATATCATTGATTTGTTTTAAGATTGCCAAATTAGGCCTATTAAAAGGCCTAAGCAGTAAACAAATAACTTGAAATAGCAACATGATGTAGTGTGATATGATTGATGCACTGAGTCATTGGTTCATTTTTAATCAAGAATTCACTAATGTAGTGTCTTTTTTTAATCTGCAGATGACTCGGATGATGGATTCTTTAAGGCCATAATTGGTGGTAAGTTAAAATAAACTTATATTAAAGGCAAATAAGGACATAAAGCACTAATACTTTCTTTTATAGAGGACAACCTTAATAAGTGACTAATTCTCACTTCATTAATAAGGAACTGATTGGAAAGACAGTTACTTAATATATTTATTGTAGCTATTTAATATAATCATTATTGATTATTATATGAAGGATTTGGTTCTGAAACAAATTAAAAGCCACTTATGATGTAGGTTGTTAGGAATGGGTGTGATACAAGAAATGTTAATGATCTATAATGATTAATATCACCTTTATTAGATAAATAAAAGTGTGTTACATGTCAGCTGTTATTCTTTTCAAACCTATTTATATCCAGAAATGTTATAAAAGGACATAATGCACTTTGAGAATGAAACTTTGTATGTTATTACATTATATAAACAAAAAAGATATATTAATTACAAAATTAAATAAAAAAGTGTTGTCTCAGAAAACATATCTAACAGAATCCTCAATGACTAAATATCAATATTGGCCTCTATTCTTTTCAGGAGACTCGCCCTTAGTTTGGTCTTAGAAGTTGGTTTATGTTATATATGTTATATTTTATGATTATAATAATTATTGTTATGGTGGCTGTTGTTAATAATGAATAATATAAAAAATGCCATGTATGCAATCATGAAATGATTAAAGAAGCATGCTTTATCATTATTAATTCCTTGGAGGCACCAAAATATTTTTCCAAGCGCAGCTGCTACTAAGATTGCTCCAGATTGGGGTATTACAGTGCTATTAGGGTAGATACTGCAGAGCCACGAAGTCCAAGAGCCGATATAAAACGTTGTCCCTCTCTGATGAGGAAACTCATAAAAGGCCATGTCTGTGTGCCAAAAACATTAAGGTGCCCGACTCCGAGTGCACTCCGTCCTGACCTAATGCGTCCAATTTTCCAGACTGCACTTGTGGTGATGTTGCAACTGTAGAAAAGCCTGGGCTTCTGCCAAAATACGAAGGTTTTTTCTGTGCAAGATGCTTCTGAAAAGTTCTTCCCATGCTGAAGGTTAAAGAAGGTGAAAGCTTAAAGCACCAGCACTGTTCCTCTTAACTGAGTTTACACATGAATAATCAGTAAGGAGATACATGGTCAGGCTTGTGCGTAATTAGATACAATAAATCTCAGCAGGATATCAGTGGAATCATGCTCTTTGAAATACTGTTGAGGTAAATAGTTTATATCAAGGGCACTAATGCTAATTAGAGCGCCGGGAGTATACACTCACTAGCCACTTTATTACAAAGCCCTACACTTTAGCTTCACCTTGCTGGTGTGCAGTTCGAGATTGTAGCCCATCTATCTCATACTGTGCTAGTTATGCTTTGGCTCTCTAACAGTAGGATTTTTAATAAACTATATTGTGTATGTATTGTTCATAATAGACCAATTATTAGCTAATTGCTGTTGCTTTTGATTATATACAGTGCCCTCCACAAATGTTGGCACCCCTGGTAATCATGAGCAAAACAAGCTGTAAAAAAACATTATTTATTGCTCATCCTTTTGATTTTTCATTCAAAATATTAAAAGTATAGCCTTTATTTGAAGTAGAGTGATTGAAAGAAAAGGCCATAAATCTTGTCAAATATTTTTCTCAAATCTGTATGTGCCACAATTGTTGACACCCCTAGAAATTCTTATGAGTGAAATCTAACTGAAGTATATTCCCATTCATTTATTTTTTGTGGTTAGGAACACTTAAATGGTCAGCCATGACTTCCTGTTTCACTAGGGAATGTATATGAGATAGATAGACCAAATGCCCTCAGGCAAGACCAGAGAATACTGCAATGATGTATGACAGAGGGATTGAGCTGCGCAAATCAGGAAATGGCTACATAAAAATAACTAAACAGTTAAAATGCTCATTTCCACTATCAGGGCAATAATTAAGAAGCTGGAGACTTTCTGCTGAGAATCTGCTGGAAAGCGGACGTATGTCTGTATTGATCCCATGCACAGTGACGAGGATGGTTGAGTGGACAAAGAATCCCCAAGGATCCCAGATAGGGAACTGGAGACATCAGTTTGGTCATGAGGTCAAAACATCTCCCAAACTACATTAGATGCCACCTAAATAACCACAAGTTGTTTGAAAGGGTTGCCAGAAGAAAGCCCCTGCTGTCAAGGACCAAGAAACTTGAGGGCCTACACGTTGCCAGATGCTTCTATAACTTTCAGTGGGACTGTGTTCTATGCTCAGATGAGACCAAAATAGAGCTTTTTGGCAACAAACACCAGAGGAAGATTTGGTATAGACACAGAGATAGCCATGCAGAAAAGTATCTCATCCCCACTGTGAAGTATGGTGGTGGATTTGTGATACTGTGGGGCTGTTATTCAAAGGCCATGGATAATTTGTTCAGATGCATGGTATCACAGACTCCATCATTTGCTAGCAGATATAGAATCAAAACCTGACTGCCTCAGCCAGGACGCTTAAACTGGACCATAATTTGGATCTTTCAACAGGACAATGATCCAAAACACACCTCAAAATCAACACAAGAATAGTTCACTGACAACAGAATTAAGGTTTTGACATGGCCACCCCAGTCCCCTGACCTAAACCCTGTAGAAAACCTGTGGGCTGAGATAAAGAGGTGAGTCCACGAGCATATACCTTGGAATCTGAAGGATCTGGAGGGGTTCTGTATGGAGGAATGGTCTCAGATCCTTTGCCATGTGTTCTCCAGTTTCATTTAGCATTATAGGAGAAGACTCAGAGCTGTTGCCATTGAAAAGGGAGGCTGCACAGAGAATTAAATAAAGGGTTGCCAACAATTGTAGCACCACAGATCTGAGAAAAAATTTTATTTCATTATAAGATTTTGGGTTTGTATTTTAATCATTGTACTTTAAATAAAGGTTAAATTTTTGTTAATATTTTAAATGAAAGAGCAAAGAGATAAGCAAAAAAGCCTGTTTTGCTCATGTTTACCACCAGTGGAATGGAAATCCATTCAGATATTATTAATTAATATAATCAAATGATACTGCAACTCTGTTATCAGATTAAGTAGGAAACTGCTGGCCCTGAAACGAATCTGTGTTGAGCTGCTAGCAAGCAATTAGAGGTGAAAGCGGAGAGATAAGAACCCCCTGCTGTGAGAAATAATTCAGACCTCTTCACAAAGACGGCTGTGCAGAGATAAACCAGACAAATGCAGCTTTCTTTATATCAAACAATCCTGAACAACTGACACAATCAACAAACAGCATATAACCACAATAACAACACTTTTAGAAATGCTGACTTGATAGCTCACCTTCAAACATGAAAATCCAATTTGTATCCAGTTTTGCAAATACATCAAAATGTATTCCATCTTGCATTTTATGGCTACTATGGAAAAGAGATAATCAATAATTATTGACAAGGAATGTGTACTAAGGTGACAGATGTGTTTCATTTGCAGACTCGTGTTATTCTCACTGCCCACCTTTTGACCTTATTGACTTAAGAAGCTGTGATTGATGTGAACTGACCAGTAGTTAATTTACTACTCATTTACACATAAGGATGAAGGCTGTGCTATTTGTTCACTACAACAGTGGAAGCCTGTTTTTGCACTATGGAAATAAAGTGGTGACCTGAGAATGACCTCTTCAACTTAACCCTGTGGATCTGAACGGAAACCAAGCACTTGTCATGCATGCACAGAACGTACATAAACATAAACAACATAATTAACCTCTGGGTTAACCTTTTTTGTAATGTATTCATTTACACAGTGATTTAATTACATTGTTCTGAAATACAATTAGCTGGCTTTGTCAGCCCAACTTACAGTTTGTTTGTGAACTTTCCCTTTCTAGTTTTACCACTGTAATTTCTTATGAGTGTTGTTAGACATATTGTGAAGTGTCTCACTGCTAACAATAAATATTGTATTATTGTACATAATATATGTATCTGCAAGCAAATTTACCACCAATTTACCGTTTCCTCCTCAGCTGTAATTGCTGCAGTGGTCCTGGTCTTCATCTGCCTGTTTGTGGTAATCCTCCGCTACATGTACAGGTATAAGGGCACCTACCACACCAACGAGGCCAAGGGCACTGAGTTCGCCGAGACGGCTGATGTTGCCCTCCGGAGCGACCCGGCTTTGCAGGACTCCATGGATGAGAGCAAGAAGGAATACTTCATATGATACAGCACCCAACGCCCTTCCATTTAGAACCTGAATTTGAAGCCAACTAGGTGCATCCAGTTAGTCACGGCAGATGGGAGACTGCACAAAATGATTTTTATGCTGTCCTGGTGCCATTTCTTCCCATCTTTTCACCTGGCTGGGTTCACCTATACATGCCTGTATCCCTGCAGTATTACATGCTGACCTTCAGACCATATTTTGTGTAACGGGCAGGTGGTAGGAAAAGGCCATCAGGCGTTAGAAAAGAATTGAACACCAGCAGGTGCCGAATCAGTTAACCCAAACGCAAAGAGAGGAATGCATGCATTTGACATGAATCAGCCATACGGGTGTGAAGAGCATTGCACCGAAGCCAAAGCATGAAATGACTGTCAAATAGCACCGCGGGAAGCAAGAGCATGAAAGAAAGCCAAAGAGAAGAAGTCACTGCACACTAGCAGTGCGTCAGAAAGAACTTGATGTCTTTCATATGCAAATAAGATGAAGCCTTAAAGTCTTTTTTGTTGTTTATTGCTTACAGGATATTGAACGTTGTCTCACCATGTATTAAACCACAAATAAGAGTTCATAAGTAAGTGAACCGTGATAGCATTTGTGTTCATTTGTATCTATACGCCAGCACACTGGATTTGAAATGAAACAATAATGATGAGGTTAAGTAAAAGAAGTTGAGGCTTATTACCTTCAATATTCAAATATAATTACATATACTAATTACATTATTACATATCTAATTTGAAATCAAAACTGTATGGCAGATACCTTTGCTCTCTTCCAAGGGTGTTTTTCATACAAACCACTGTTAATGATGAAATTTATGCATCTGGGCACATCCTATCTGGGTGAAGTGGGTGGGGAGGGGCAGGGCTTATGCTATGCTTAAAATAACTTCTTCTTTCCTAACATCACTTACTAATTCTAACTGCTTTCAAGCTTTTTTAAGATTATTTTGTAAGTTACCACAGCAGGCATTGAAAAAGATCTATTTAACCTCATCCCAGGCTTATTACATACTAAAGCTTATTATTCAGTAACTACAGGGATTCAGTGCAAACTGACTGAGCTATTCTTACGTTACAGAAGTGTGTAATAAAACTTTGGCCCCGCCAGCAAGGGGTTAAAGCTACATTATGTAAGTTTTGTAAGATTTGGAGGCCTCTCTGGTGGAAATGTGTAATTGCACGCAATGCGCAGAAGAACATTTAGTAGCATGGGTTGTGCTTTGGATCCCTTCCTTGAGTGGATGAATCTGATGACTGAAAGAGAATTCAAAGCAAACTCAGTCAAAACTTGCTGAAAGATGTGTCTTCTGAGGATGTGAGTGAATTATCTACTATTGCCTTGGTCCTTAACAATGTAAAAAAGTAGTTCATTTTGACATATCTAATGTTTGGATGCTGTTTCTCAGCCTCATGATGGTCTTGTTGAGAGATAACAGCAGCAGATTCAAAAGCCACATTTACAATAACCACTAGACCTTTTGTTAACTCTATTGTGCATAAACTGATGATGCAACGAAACCCAACGGACCACGAAACAACTGAGCAGCCAGCTGTCCAATGACTTATGGTCTCCAAAAATGGGCTTCCATTCCTAAACACTTCACCCAGTGTAATGTACAAGCCCATGCATTAAAGTTGACAATTTATACTTCAGCTCAATTCCTTCAACAGTCATTGTTTCATTTCAAATATAATTCAATGTGCAGGAATACAGTGTCAAAAATGTATCTTACTTATTAATTACTTATAGATTGCACTGCATATAACAAGACAGTATATTAAAGGCATAAAACTGGAGATTATTCAACATATACAGTATTCAGTAATGGTAATCGCACTGACAATCAAAACAGCCAAAGTCAAAATATTGCCAGAGGAGCTTTCATGTTTATTTCAGGTATGTTATTCCTCTTCACTAGATAAGCTTCAAATAACTACTAAGGAACTACAAGAAACCATTAGTTACCCTATTAACAGTGCTTTATTACTTTGTCATCTGTTGTAAGATTTGAACATAACTTTGTCCATTTGTGCCCTTAAGCAATGAAAATATCCTGTGTGGTGCTCAGATTGATGATGTACCTGAGCTAGAATGAAACAATCAGTAGACAAGTGTGAAAACACCACTGGAAAGTCTTGATAGTGGAGGTGAAAACTGTGATTATGGTTCCCACCAACAACATACAGTTGACGTACCTGTGTTGTGCCCAGAAATACGTTCTTTTGTATGTGTTGTGAGGTTGGACAAGTTTTGCAGAATGATGGCAAAATCCTACTTAATTTAATGAGAAAAAGTCAAAATACATAAATTTTGTGTGTTATGTGGATGTGGGTTTTTAATTTCTTGCCAAATAATTGAACTGATATTAGAATGGTGTCAAATACATGATCATTTGCAACCTGCCTACTTTCAAATAGCTACAACAACATGTGCAGCTCGGTATAGCATTTTTAAGCAAAGGGGTCCAACATGGTTAACTTATATAACATATTATGACAAAAATGGAGTTGTCCTTCTAGGCCTCAGGAGAAGGCCCAACGATTTCTGTAAACTAAAAAATACTCTGCAAGTATTGTAGTTCCACTCACAATTAAGTTTAGTTTGAAATGAAAAGGATTTTGAAACACCCAACAGAAAATGATTGTTTTCTCTGTGGTATCTAGGTAGATACAGTCAAGCATGCTATCTCATTGGTTGGGACTTCAGGAGCTAAATAGAAAGCCTCACACATTAGATTAACTACCAGTATAATTAGAAAGTGACATAGGAACTAACCATGCTTTGATTTACACTGGACCAATTTTGAAAGAAAAACATCAAACCAGACCTTCTAGATCCGTTACTGACTATGAAGTCGAGCCATAATCTAAGCAGGTTTTGGGTAGTTGTTAGGAATGGAAAATGGCGGGAGCAGCTTTATGCCAGGACTCTTTACAGAAAGAGTCACTATAAAACTGATACATACAAGCTCAAATATATGTTATTATCTGTTACAGTCTTCAAATAAAGCACATGCAATGCTTTTTACAAGCTTCAATGTCCATGTTTAATCTAGAACTGCTACAAAATGTTCATGTGTGTAAGCATTAGTGTTCTAATCAGTTTAACACTTTAATGTCCATAGTATATAATCACTCAGGTTTCATACGTATGTATTTTTTTTAATCCTCAAATATTGTTCTGATTGGGTAAATGAGGATGAATATATCTGCATAATGGCATTTACATTAAGAAGCATTTGACACATTTTGTACCATTTTTTGTTGAACATAGGTGATTTTGACATACTGAAGACCAGGAGCTGCCTGATCTCCAGTAAGTGTAATAAGTGACTGAATAATATTAGAAGTCCTTCCATATTATCTAACAGCCACAAACATTGTATTTCACAGTTTAGATCTTTTGAACATTTATGTAATGATTTTCATTTGATTTTTTTCAACATTTTATGTTTGTCTTTGACATTGATGTCCACCCTGTCATAAGGGGGTTACAACATGTTAAGGCTCCTGATTTTTGACATCAGTGACATCAAAACAACCATAATGCTTTCCTTTAACGGAGTTACTAACAACTGCTGCATGTACAGTGAAGATCTACAACTATATTTTCTCATCATATCGTGTGGTCAAGCTTAACGTGTCCATCCTGTCATGGTAAAACTTACAGTTTCTTAATAAGATTTCAGAATATTAAATATGTTTGTGAAACAGTATCAGGTCATTTTAACAGTTTAACACTTTGCTAAATAAAAGTCAACATGTGTTCACAAGATGCTACATTTAGGTAAAAATGTCCACCCTGTCCTGCGAGGTGGATACACTGTAAACAATTACTGTAATTTTACAGTATACATTTACTGATGTCTTAAATTACAGTGTTATTGTATTTTGCTATGAATTCTGGGAGCTGATGTCCATTCTTAACAGCTCATTGTAGAATTTACTGTATGTTCCTGTAAAAACTACACCAGAACTACCAGAAGTCTCCACAAATCAAATGGAAAAACTGCAAAAATTGCAGTAACTTGACATTTTTTACATTTTGTTTTAAACTTTTAATTGAATTGAATGTAATGTTTTCATAAACTTCATTTATCACAAGAGTTTCCTTCTGTTTCTTTCTAAGTCAGGACTTTGTCCACCCTGTCATCTTCATGTTTTAGCAAAATAAACAAGTTATACTTAAAAGAAATCCAAATATTTGAAGTACATTATTACAAACACCAAGGAGGCAAACTGTATTATAGAATTTTTGATTAAATGTATTTGCTCACAGATTTTCTTCAGAAAAGAAAGTGCAGTTGGTGTGGATTAAAAAAAAACATTTATTTTAAACTATATTTCATAACTGAAAAAGATTTTTACATGAGCTAAAATATTATTGACAAAGAGACAAAAGATTTCTCCAAAACTGTCAGTCAAATCGATACAGTGCAACCAAAATATCCTAAATCTGTTTTGCAACTGGAACTTTGCAACTGTTTTGGAACTCGAGTGGCCGACACACAGCCCTGAGCAACCTCTCTAAACACCTTTGGGATGAACTGGACCCCTGATTGTGAACGAGACCTTCTCATCCAACATGATCTACACATACAAAATAGTTCATCCATCTTTGGCTTCTTATAAAACTCCTGTCCCAACTGACGAGCACAGCAAGTCATGATGTATCTCATGTGATACTGATGTCACACTTGTCATGTGAAGATGTCTTTACAGCACCGTAACCAGCCTGAAATGCTCATTAAACACTGAAGAAAACGTTTTATGTTTCTGAAATATTCACATACAGACAGCATGGATGTTTTTTTTTCCCGTGATTAATGCACTGCCTCAAGGATACAGGCTGAAAATAAGCCTGAAGCTAGAGCTTCACCCTCCTAACCTCCATCCTTTCTCTCTTCAGCTCCCTTGATTAATGGAAACTCCCCATCAAAGATCTCTATTGCTCTTGTTAATGGTGAACTTAAAAAAAAAAAAGAAAAGGCCTGCTCTGCCTGTTGAGCAGCATCTAGGTTACTTGTCATCACTTGAGCCATGCTAACCGAAGCTGACACCTTCATGATTAACCTCCCTGAAAACAGGAACGAGACGAACGAGACGACGCAATTATCGCCTTGCCAGTGGCCTCTAGTCTGCTTTGTATCTTCTCTTTTATCCTACCTTAACTGCTCCCAAAAATGGAAATCAGCCTTCAAAATTCCGTCTCATGAAGGGAGCTTGGTGCAGAATGAGTACGAAAAGGACAACTTGTTAAACTTCATTTTGCGGGTATCAATGTGGGGATAGAGGGAGGGGTCAGCTGGCCTGGAAATGGTATCAGGGAAGAGTTTTCAAAGGTCCAGTCAAGGTCCTGAAGTTTGGCATTCATGAATGGTTTACTGACAGCTATTCATGTACATAGAGATGGTATGATACCACTTTCATTTCGATACTGACACCAATACCTTGACTGTTGGCCAGTATCGATAAAAAATGTTCATTTAAAAACTACTAAGCTTTAAAAAGATATGTTTTTAAAAAATAATTTGTATATTTTTTACCATGTTCAAACTAGCCATCTCTCTACAATCCTTACTGTTTATGTGCTGTTATCATATGGTTACTAATCTTATAATATGATTTTTTTTAACAGGAAATCTTGTGGTATTTCAGCCTAGACTTTTAAGAAGAACTGACTGAGATTCATTTATATCCAGTCCAGCATGTTAATGTCGGCACAATACCACTACCCAGTATCAGATCGGTGCCGTCTCTACACATATATAAACTCTTTCATCACCGTCAACACTGATATCTGCTTTTGCACTATGGTCACTTAATCAATGGATACGGCCTCACCACATATTGGAATATTAAAACAGCTGGAGGTTTACTCTCAATATAGTCAGTCAGACGAATTGCCAGTGGAAAGTTCCAGCCAGCGGACTGGTAGATCCAGCACATGGTCAACAAAACATCGCTACAATCTTTAAAAACAAAAAGTCCCAACTTTAAGTAGAAAGTGTTTTCTTGAGCACAGAAAGTCCACACTCTAATGGAAGCATCTCCAAGTACCTTTTATCACGAATGTGCTCTGAACATTTGAAAAATTAATGGCGCTACATCATTTTGATGCCCAGATGATTTATTTATTCCAGAGAGGTAATTTAAACTAAAAGCAAATAATAAATATTCCATCTGAGACAGGCATCATGCCCGACTCGGGGAATGACAGAAATAAATTTGTGAAAATGGATGTCGGAATGCGATCTCGTATCTTGGGTCACAAGTGCAGGGACGGGGGGATGTAGCCCATGACGTTCTGCTTCTTGCCTGGAGAAAAATATACCATAAGCCATGTGGATGGATGGGGTCGATATAATGCAATATATCTATGGCCTCTGACTTAAACATAAGGAACCAGCGACGGTGCTCAGCTCAGTGGTCCTCAGTTATAATTCTTGGGACCTAATGCTATGTACATTTTTTCCCTGTGGTGAGACACTCTGCTTTTTACTTTTACCCAATTTTCTCATGGACAATTCCACCAATTCCTAGTTAGGTTCCCCTATCACATGATGCTACCAAGCTTCCATATGCCTTCCACATGCCAACACATATTTTCAAACTAACACAACTTCATTGGACAACATAACAATCTTTGATAAGAACATTAACTGCCAATTCTGTCACATGAATCCTACCCACCCAATAGTGCTCTCTTGGCTCCCAGCTATGGATGGCTGTGGCATCACTACAATCAGAAGCTAGGGCCAACACTTAGACAGCTGCACCACCCAGGAGCATCTCTTGAAGGCTTGGCAAAGTAACCAAGTTAAACTGGGGTGAAGTAAATTGAGGAATGCATGTGGTCCCCAGTTCTGGCAATGAGAACCAACAGGTTCAGTAACACACTGGCTAAGAAGAGTTAATGCATTTGTTAACATCAGCAATCCATAAATGTCTGTAGTCTTGGGTTTTCAGTCTCAGTAGTTAATGCGGTGTCTATTGTTAAAGCACTACAAACTCTGTATATCACTAAAACTGCTGATGACTAAGTTCAGATGTTTACAAATAATAAAAGAACACCAGCTAACATGGTCAGGCTGAGTGATTTGTACACAAATATTGTGCAAGGAGGCCTAACTTCGTTTTCAAACCCATTCGCACATTTAGAGGCTATTTTTGTTCATGGGGACCATCTGTCAGAGCTAAACTGAAGCCAGAACATTAATGATTTGAAATTGCCAGATTCAATCTTGGGACAAATCTGGAGGTTCTCACATGGGCTAGCCATTTTCTCATTCATGACAGCTTATGATACCTACTTATTCCAAATAATATGTTATTCTGGTCACTTACGATACATTTACTGAAGACAAGATTTTGTCTGTGGTGATGGCAAGAGTTCTAGCATTGCTTCATATTATAAAGCCAGAGGAGTTTGCTTTTTCAGTGCCACTGGTGCCATTCAACTACTCACTATGCTTTAAACTCACTATGCTTTGAACAACATCTGCATCTATGAAAAGTCTACAGTTCATGAACTCCATCATGTATTCAGCCAAGAACCTGCACTGGTTTTCCCCTCAATCTTGACAGTTCATGATGTTTCTATGTCACATTGTCAAATAAAACACAGAATAATTATCAGCCCATTAATCTTCTACCTTCTAGCTTAGCTCCACTTTGCTAATGACATATAAAGCAGCTCTACGGAGTTTCAATCCTTCAGTTCATTATCAGTGTGCTATTTTTTAAATATGAAGCTCTAGATGTGGTCAAAAATTAACTGATGATGACTAAAAGTATATCTTTATACCCATCCAAAAACAAAAACAAATGTAAAAAATGTTGTTGTGAGTGGTTTTCTGCAAATGTGGTACTTACAGTGCTCTTGTACTACAAAAGCTGCCATGGGCTTTGAGAAAATGGCAAAGCAAACATCTAATATAACTTCAATGCATCGAGTTACTACAGGTAAGACGTAAATGGATCATAAATGTGTTTCATGCCCACTGTGGCAGTATGCTTTTGCC